ACATGCATACATACATACATATGCATACAGTACATACAGTACATACATGCATGCATCTCACAAATGTTTATGTACATGAAGAAATAGTGAATGTGGAAAAATTAATTTTAAAAAGTTGATTCATGCAGTAGCAGCTATTACCCTCCTTTAACTGGCATCCCTGTTTAGATCTTATTACTGTTTTTCTTATACATTTTATTGTTGTATGTAACTGGGACCCCGTGTACATAATTTCACTCCACCACATGTACCACATGGGGTGCGAACGACAACAAAGAATATCTGAATCTGAATCTGTTTTGATGCTGGAATAAAAATGTCTTGTATTTTTCGGAGACAGTATTTCTGTGCTTCTTTTTCTGTTCTTGCGTTGACAACGCATGTTAAAAGAACACAAGATAAGTAGATGTCACCATTTATGAACCATTTTTAATACAGTGGCAGCTGTGGCTGAGTGTCGTCTGAGGTTGTCCTCAAATGGGAGAGTTGGGGGTTTGATTCCACCAGCAGTCACATGTGGAAGTGTCCCTGGGCAAGACATTGAATCCCTCATTGTCTCTGATGTGTGTCCCGTCGGTGTACAAATGTGATAGAGCACTGATTACAATGATTTGTTTGTTGTTGTTGTTGTTTTTAGCTTTGTAGAGGTGTAGTAGAGTGTTGTATGAATGTGTGTGAAGATAAATGAGGGCATAGATTGTGTTGTAAAGAGCTCTGAATATCTTGATAAGATAGAAAGTTGCTATATAAGTACAGCCCATTTAAAAAAATGTTGTTATTAGACCTGTCACGATAACAAATTTTGCTGGGCGATTAATTGTCTCAGAAATTATTGCGATAAACGATATTGTTTGAAATTTGACAACAATTGGTAATTATTGTCAAATTCAAGAAGAAATGTTGGTCAATTTTTGTGTGTAGTACCTTTTTTCGACCACTGGATGGCAGTATAAGACAGTTTGAACCGAAGGGTGGATAGTGAGGGAGCAAGCAGCGTGTCACTTTAAGAAAAATGGGAGGGAGGCCTCTTGACGTGACATGGGCTGTCTCTTTGGTTCTAAAAATGGCGGACACTTGGTGTGGTTAGAGCACTTTAGCATAACATTTGTCACACAAAGCTTTTAATAAAAAAATCAGTAAACAAGTTCTCAGCTTCTTTTTGCAGAGAAAAACAACTTTTTAGACGGAAGCACGGGTTTCAACCATGAATTTTGGAGCTTTGACAAGACTGAGTTTTTTTCTCCCCGAGGTTGGCCTGTTAGCTTAGCTTGTAGCTTAGCTTCTCAGCTTAGCTGCTTTTAACGATCCTTAAACCCAAGTTTTGGATCGTGAAAACAGAGTTTAAAGAGAAAGGGAGGGGTCAGTGCAGAACACCAGAGTTGAGCCTTTTATCATCAGTAGAAAGAGACACGAAGAAACGATAAAGCCGATAAATGAAAATGAGGTTGATAATTTTAAATGATCATGCGATTAAATGATTTATTGATTATTGCGACAGGCCTAGTTGTTCCCTGTTGCAGTAAAATATTTTAAAGCAGGAACCTCCAGGGAATTGTATCAAGAAAATACAGTAATCATCCCTTTTCTTATGGCGATATGCTGTCTCTTCAAGAGTCCTAAATGAATTTTCATCAGAGCTGTTTGTGATCAAATTACCCAAAGTGGATTTTGGTATAAGATCAAAAACCTACATGTATATAATAATGAATCTTCCCTGTTTATGTGAGTTATGGCTAAAGTTTAGTATTTAATGAGAACTACAGTGAATAGGACCAAGGGGTGATAAGCTGCAGGAGACAGTGGTGAAAACATCCAGATTATTGAACTAAACAGAGGAAGGAAGACACATCCCAGGGTGAATGTGTCAGTGAAACCAGGAGAATAAATACTGAGGGAAGAAGTCTCCAGATTGTTAAAGTTCAGATGAGGGAGAACAGCTCAACGCAAGGTCCAAAAACATGGTGAAACTAAAATGAAACACAAAACTCAGAACAAAACATTACAAAACTATTGTTTTACATCAAAGTCTGACTGCTGGAGAGTATCTGAGACATCCACCAGTGTCCCTGCTCACTGCTTCGGCTTTTGCAAACAACTAAACCATGAAAACAAAAAGCTAAGCTTATCAAACAAAACAAAAAAACACAAAAAATGGAGCAATGATGTAAAATCTGCATGCATTATTTTACTCTCATGACTCACAGGATTTATTGGAAAAGAGCTTGAAGGTGCCTCCATGCACAGTCAGGTAAGATCTGAACGCTCCAAGTCCGTTCACTGTGGTGATTGTTTCACCCTTTAATGGAATTGTAAACGAACTCAAGATGAATTTAAGTTTGAAGCATTTTTTTGAGGGATCATTTGTCAGGGAAATTGTATTTTAAACTCTGCGTTTGATTATTTTTATTGGACAGCGACTCCTCTTGTGTAATATGTGATTCAGTGCACACAGACAGGGTCATGCCATGAACCAGTGTGCCTCCACTGGTTCAGTGGAGCTCATTTTGTTCATTAGATCCATGCTTTTTGTTTGGATGGAGTGATGCTGAAAATA